GGAGAATTCTCATTTCGATTCATTTGCACTGTCATCCATACATTCCAAGTGGACATACAACCATTCTTTGGCTAGCAAATCCTACAAATTTATGTGGATCGAATATTTTCTAGGGTCAATTGAGACCTTTGTGAATGGTTCTGATCATACCAATAATAGATTTTATTCCGAGAAGGAAAATTAATAAAATGATAAAAGACAATGGTTTCCTTATTGAGATTCCCACCGAGGAATGACATTTTGATTGCAGATGATTAATATGATGGATTGCAGATATTGATCAATCTACTAACTCTGCGATAGCAGGTTTGCTGGAGTTCGTGCTTTCTTCCAAGTCTCATGCTCTCTCTTCATGTTTCCTGTGATCTGCTTCACAATTGAAGGTTTCCCCTCAAGATGATTAATGTTGGAATTAAACTTGTTCAAGTAGGTTCATTTCATCAAAAGAAAGGCTCATTGCATCAAGTGGAAGAATCATTACATCAAGAAGAAAAAATGGATTAAAAGTCTATAGAAGGATAAATCAAATTGGTTATTGGTTCTTAAAAGAGTTTCTTGAAAAAGAATGATTCATCTTGAATACAATTAATATAATGTATCTTTGGGGACTATATAAACCCCATATGTTGGGTCATGAGTGTAAGAGAGTTTCTAAAATTGTAAAAGTATTTTTCTTGAGAGAAATATAAAAGATTAAAGCTTGTCCTACTCTTCCTCTGTTTGATATCTCTATCCCCTCTTCTTATCAAGTTCAACATTTGGTATTAGAGCATAGGTTAAGCTATGGCCTCTTCTTCAAGTGTTATCCAACTCCAGATCCCTAGATTGACAAAAGAAAATTATGACATATGGTGCATCCAAATGAAGGTTCTTCTAGGCTTCCAAGATGTATGGGAGTTTGTAGAAGATGGATTTGCTGAACCAAGTCCAGTAGAAGAAGGAGAAATGAATGCAGAAGGAAAAAAACAACTCAAAGAAAGAAGGAAGAAGGAGAAAAAAGCTTTGTTCACGATCTACCAAGGGCTTGATGATATAATGTTTGAGATTATCGCTCCAGCAAATACTTTAAAGGAGGCTTGGGAAATGCTTCAAAAAGCATTCGGTAGTGTTGATAAGGTAAAAAAACTTCGTCTACAAGTTTTACGAGCCGAGTTTAAAAAATTACAACAAGGTACTTTTGAAACTATTTCTGATTACTTCTCAAAAATCATTTCTATTGTTCATCAAATGAGACGAAATGATGAACAAGTAAATGATCAGAGAGTAATAGAAAAAATATTGAGATCTCTAGATCCGAAATTTGATTTTATTGCTGTTGCGATTGAAGAATCTAAAGATTTGGAAAAAATGTCTTTAGAAGAACTTATGGGTTCCCTTCAAGTTCATGAATAAAGGATTACAAAAAGAGGAGAAGACAAAACTATGGAGCAAGCACTACAAGCTAAGTTTGCTCTTGAAAATAAAGGAGAATCAAATTCTCAAAGAGGAAGAGGACGAGGACAAAGAGGAAGAGGAGGCAGAAATCAGACCAATCAAGAATTTCCAAACATTGAAGGTGGTGGAGAAAATTCTAGCCAAAGAGGCCGAGGTTATGGTCGAGGACATGGCCGAGGCCGTAGACATGACAGAAACTCTAAAAGGTCTGAAATACAATGTTATGTTTGCAAAAGATATGGACATTACTCTTATGAATGTTATTATAATCCTAACAATCAAGGTGATAAGGCAAATTTTGTTGAGAAAGAAAAGAACGAAAATCAAGTTTTGCTAATGGTTATGATAATTTGAAAGAGGATCAATCTATGACATGGTATCTAGATACATAAGTTTCAAATCACATGTGTTACATCAAAGAGCTATTTTCAGAAATAGATACAAGTTATTTCGGGAACATTACATTTGGCGATTTACCTCAAAGACCAGTAAGAGGCAAAGGTAAAATTCTCCTTGAACTTAATAATGGCAAGGAATTATGCATTTCAAATGTTTATTATGTTCCTGATATGAAAAATAATATTCTAAGCTTGGGATAATTACTTGAAAAAGGTTATGAAATTGAGATGAAAGATATGACTCTCTCAATTCATGATAAGAATAAAACATTGATATCACATGTGAAAATGACAAAGAATAGAATGTTTCCTCTGCATTTAAGTATTTTTTATCAATCAAATTATTTTAAAGCTGATATTGAGGATATTTCTACACTTTGGCATCTTAGATATGCTCACTTAAATGTTGAGGCTTTGAAACTTCTAGATAAGTATAATATGGTGATAGGAATGCCAAAAATTGATCACCCAGTAAAATTGTGTGAAGTATGTGTCATGGGTAAGCAAGAAAGAAAGTCTTTCAAAGTGAGAAGGACAAAAAGAGCATGGAATCGACTTGATCTGGTGCACTCAGATGTTTGTGGCCCTATCAATCCAGTATCACTTGGAGGAAGCAGGTATTTTCTTACCTTCACTGATGATCATAGTGGAAAAACTTGTGTTTATATGTTAAAAGAAAAGAAAGAAGTTTTAAGCAAATTCAAAGAATTTAAGGATTTGGTTGAAAGACAAAGTTTTTGTAAGATTAAATGTTTAAGAACAGATAGGGGTGGTGAATATATATCAAATGAATTTAAAAGTTTTTGTAGAAATAATGGAATTCTACATCAATTCACCATGCCATACACACCTCAACAAAATGGTGTCTTAGAAAGAAAAAATATGACTATCCTTAATATGGTCCGATGTATGTTAAAGGAAAGAAAAATTTCGAAAGAATTTTGGGGTGATGTTGTTGCTTATGCAGTTTATTTGCTTAATAGGTTTCCGATAAAGCGAATTAGTAATGTTACACTAGAAGAAGCATGAAGCTTACAAAAACCAAGAGTTGATCATTTGAGGATTTTTGGAAGTGTTGCATTTGCCAAGATACCAGAAGAAAAGAGAATAAAATTGGAGGATAAAAGTCAAAAATGCATTTTGCTAGGTTATCCAGAGAATTCCAGTGGTTACAAACTCTACAATCCTATCACAAATAAAGTTGTGATGTCAAGAGATGTTGAGTTTGATGAACAACAGATTTAGAACTGGAAAAGTGATGAGCAGCATAAGAAAGCTATAACTTCAGAAGAAGATGATATAATACAAGCAAGCACCGAAGTGGCTTTGCCAGAATCATCACCTAGATCAGCTAGGTCACATGATTCAAGAAGTCCAATTATAAGAAGGACAAGACTGATTCAAGACCTATATGATGTGACTCGAAGGATTGATACTAACAATGATGAACTTTTTTTATTTTGTCTTTTTGCATGATACGATCCATTAACCTTCGAAGAAGCTTATAGAGATGAAAAATGGCGACAAGCTATGAATGAAGAAATTCATACCATTAACAAAAATAATACATGGGAGCTTACTACACTTCCAGAAGACCACCAAGCTATCGGTGTTAAGTGGAACTTCAAAACAAAAAGAAATGCAAAAGGAGAGGTGGAGAAATCCAAGGCCATATTGGTTGCAAAGGGATATAAACAATAATATGGGATTGACTATGAAGAAGTATTTGCGCCAGTTACTCGATTGGAGACAGTAAGATTACTTATCTCTCTAGCAGCTCAATTGAATGGAAGATTTTACAAATGGATGTCAAATCAGTATTTCTTAATAGAGTTCTTGAAGAAGAAGTATATATTCAACAATCCCCTGGTTTTATTATTCAAGAACAAGAGGACAAAGTATATAAGTTAAAGATAGCTCTTTATGGGCTTAAACAAGCCCCACGAGCATGGAATTCTCGAATAGATACTTATTTTATTCAAAATAGTTTTTCTAAATGTCCACATGAACATGCTCTATATACGAAATCTAACTCTAATGGAGATATCTTGTTTGTATGCCTGTATGTAGATGATTTAATATTTACAGGTAATAGTAGCTCCATGATTAAATATTTTAAGCACTATATGAAAAAGGAGTTTGAGATGACCGACTTGGGCTTAATGACTTATTTCCTTGGTATCGAAGTTATACAAGATAATGGAGGAATATTTATCTCACAAAAAAATTATGCAAAGGAGGTTTTAAAGAAGTTTTTCATGGAAGATTGTCATCCTACAGATACACCTATTGAATATGGCACCAAGTTGACCAAGGAATGTGAAGGTAAATACATTAATCCAACTTATTATAAAAGTATAGTTGGATGTTTAAGGTATTTGATATGCACTCGACCTGATAACAAATTAGCTATTGCGTTAGCCAAGAATCCAATCTATCATGAAAGATCGAAGCATATCGATACAAGATTTTATTTCATAAGAGATCATATCAAAAATAAAGAAGTGGAGATACATCATGTCAAGACAAGTGAACAAGTGGCTGATATACTTACAAAACCTCTTAAATTTGAATATTTCAACAACTTCGAAAGAAACTTAGCATGTTGGATGGAACAAGTTTAAGATGGGAGAATGTTGGAATTAAACTTATTCAAGTATCATAAAGAGGTTCATTTCATCAAAAGAAAAGTTCATTGCATCAAGTGGGAGAATCATTACATCAAGAAGAAAAAATGGATTAAAAGTCTATAGAATGATAAGTCAAATTGGTTATTGGTTAGTTTCTTGAAAGAGAATGATTCATCTTGAATACAATTAATATAATGTATCTTTGGGGACTATATAAACCCTATATGTTGGGTCATGAGTGTAAGAAAGTTTCTGAAATTGTAAAAGTATTTTTCTTGAGAGAAATATAGAAGATTAAAGCTTATCCTACTCTTCCTCTGATATCTCTATCCCCTCTTCGTATCAAGTTCAACAATTAAAGCATTGACTGTAGCAACTTCCTCTGACTTCGGTGCATTCATCAAAGTTCCACCAATCCAGGGGTGAAACTTGCCATTCTAAGCTCGAATGGAGAAGGAATCCCGGAAGAAAAGTCAATGACCAATCACAGATTGGCTTTTCTATCATTGGCTTTTATATTTCTGAAGCAATTCGTTGGCTCATGTAAAGGTGCCAATCTCTCTTAACTATTCCTCACGGCCTGATGTCTTGCTGCATGGACTATGCTGTCTTGAGACGAAGATTGCGGCATCCTTGCCATACGCTTTTGATTTCGTGAGCAGCAGAAACGAGTGCGTGTCACCCACCAGCCGAAGCCTAAACCACTCCACGTTCCTCTGTTTCCTTTCATCAGCAAAACCAACCTACATGAGATCGCTCGTCATCAGACCCAATAGATTTCGATTACTTCCGCCTCCCTATTAACCACTCCACTGACCTTCTCCTGCATATAAATAAATGCTCACGGATGCTGTCTTCTGAGCCAACTGCGAGAGGTGTCGAAGTCTGGTCATCACCATGGCGCTGGAGCTGCAGAGCGAGTCGATGGACTACCGGACCGAGCTCCTGTCTCCTCTGAGGGAGGAAGGCGACTCGGCAGCGGCGATGGTGGCGGCCACACCGAGCTGGAGGCTTAACGTGAACGACTTCGCGATACAGGAGGCGGCCAAAAAGGACCCGCCGCTGGCTTCCAGAGTGTTGCGGAGATTCCATGGTAACTCATCTCCTCTCTCTTTTGATGATATCTTGCAAAGGCTACGATGATCCCTTCCAGAGTGTTGCGCTTGTTTTATGCTTAATTGATTGCTGTATAATTTGCGTATATCCGCAAAGGCCTGAAATGGAAGCCATCTGTCTAGATATTGAGATGTTTAGGAGACAGCCTTATATATATATATATATATATAGATAGATAATGTGATGTGTTTCATCTCTTCCCTCTCCTTTGATTTGATTAGAGTCAGTACATGTATTAAATTTGAGAAATGACCTAATAATTTTAATTTTTAGGTTAAATTAGTATCTGATTTGATATATATTAATCGTGATCAATCTAACTCTAACTCATCATTATTTAATTACTAATATAGTATCAGAGTTTGGTGGATAAAATTTCAACTAAACGAGTCAAAAAAAAAAAAAAAGGACAATATGTGGATGCTGAGATGAACGCAAATGTATCGGCCCATACCCACATGGTGGGGATGTCGAGGTGATGCTTCATGACACGATCACGTCTCTAAATAATTATTTAGTGGGATCCAAAGAAAGCATGCTGCATGTAGTCATTAATAATTAGCAGCAATCTTCATGTTTTCTGCTTTTCCTGTAAAATTACTGAATCACAATCGTCGAGGTGTCTCCCAAACTCAAGGAAATAGTAATTGCAGTCGACTTTCATCACCTTATACTTCCCTGAGGAAAGAAAGAGAGACAAAGGAATTATTAATAGCAGCTCGTCATCATTCTGAACGGAGATCAGCGTGAACAAGACAAAGACTTCTTTCCTGGAAAGAAGACCTCTCAATAGATTACATGCTGTTTCATCAATTTCTTTTACATTTCGATGGTGCCTGGAAGCTTCTTCCCTGCGTCATACTAAGAAACTATAATCTAACAATGATTTGAAACTGTAATAAGGATTATTATATCAATCTCCCATCTAAAAAAATCCTGTTGAAGAAGAGTCTGCTGATGCTCGATGAAACCTAAGCAAAGATGTAAAGTCAATTTAGAACAAATATAATGAAATGCATCAGATGACCCAAATTTTATTACATTGATATCAAACAACTTTTTCTTTGACTTCTTCGGTGTTAAATGTGATTATAGATTGATTGAAAGAAGGACTAAGATAATAGTTTCATACTCATTGATCTCTTCTTCCTCGGTATGCTTTGCGTTAAACACTAATCTATCATCTTCCATTTGTTTCAAGGCAAACACAGAAAAATTGCAAAATACTACAAGAAGCAAGGAAATCTCCTCCAGGGATTCAGTGAGATGGAAACCATTGCTGAATTAGGCTGTCTAGCCGGAGCTCCCACACAGGTGAATCCATTCATCTTCTGATTATTATGTAAATAAAAGAAAATAGTTGAATTCTTGGGTTCACTGTTGGATACTTTTAAACATAAATACAGATTCATGTTTTGGGTTTTGGTCTCTTAGGAAGAGAGAAAAGACTTGGCCAAAAGTGAAAGGCTTGCCATCAACCTCTCAAACATAGCCAACTTAATCCTCTTCGCATCCAAAGTATTAGCATCGATCGAAAGCAAATCCCTGGCGGTGATCGCTTCAACTCTGGATTCTCTTCTGGACCTTCTCTCAGGATTCATCCTTTGGTTCACCGCATATGCCATGAAGAAGCCTAACCAGTACAGCTACCCCATCGGCAAGAACCGAATGCAACCTGTGGTAAGTCTCCGTCTTTGATCGACTTAATAATCCTTGCAGCCTCCATCGAATTTAAAATGGCAGTTTCCAATCATGCAGGGCATTGTTGTTTTCGCTTCTGTGATGGGCACTCTTGGTCTCCAAGTCTTGTTAGAATCTGGCAGACAACTCATCACGAGGGTACGTATGCATCGATCGATTGCTGCAGTTAAAGTGAGACTCTGCTCAATCTAATTGTTGCAGGAACACCCTACCTTCGATCATGCAAAAGAGCTATGGATGGTGGGCAGCATGTGCTCTTCTGCAGTCGTCAAGTTCTTCCTCATGCTTTACTGCCGTAGCTTCAAGAACGAGATCGTGAGAGCTTATGCACAGGATCACTTCTTCGATGTCATCACCAACTCCATCGGTTTAGTAGCTTCTATACTTGCAGTCAAATTCTACTGGTGGATGGACCCAATCGGTGCTATATTGGTGTGTCTCATTCTGGCAGCCCAAACTTGACCTGTAACGAGTTGCAGAGAGATCTAATGGTGGAGGCGGTCTTCTTTTCGGTGATGCAGATAGCCGTGTATACGATCTGCTCATGGGCGAAGACGGTGGTGGAGAACGTGTGGCTGTTGATAGGAAGAACGGCGCCGCCGGACTTCTTGGCGAAGTTGACGTACCTCATCTGGAATCACCATCAACAGATCAAGCACATCGACACGGTGAGAGCGTATACGTTCGGGTCGCACTACTTCGCGGAAGTGGATATAGTGTTGCCGGCGGAAATGCCGTTGAGTCAGGCGCATGACATCGGCGAGACGCTGCAAGAGAAGGTGGAGCAGCTGCCGGAAGTGGAGCGTGCGTTCGTGCACATCGACTTCGAGTTTACTCATAGGCCGGAACACAAGCCCAAGCAGTAGCAGTGAATGATGCGTCTCTCAGATGCATCCGTAGAGAATAAGCAAATCAAGAATTAATTGTCTGCTTCAGAAATTGTCTTCTCGACATGTAATAATTTGTGTGGAAAAAGTATACATCAAATGAATTTTGGGTGAATTCTTCGTCCCCTCTTTTCTCATAATACCTAAAATGTCCTCCTGACGATACAATTTATCTAGTCCGTAGACCCCATGGATTGGAATCAGTCCAATTCCACTCTATTTAAAAATATATTAACTGGCATACAAAGTCTTCCTACGTGATTGTTCTTGATTCTAAACTAATAAAAATTTATATTTGAAATCTTATTTTTATATATATGAGTTAACTTTACATATAAGGATATATTTAAAATTATCGATTGGTCTATTTATTATAAGGTACTAAGCTTAAATTTTATTTTTGTCGCTTACCCTTTATATAAAAATAAATTATTTGCTTAAATTATAGTATTTTTGAATAAATCATATTTTCGTGGAAGTGCCAAAAACACTTATAGTAAAATGATAACTTAATCAATACCTTGATGCCATGTGATCGACACTTACTCCAAATGTAGTTGACACTATGGTGCTACGTTGTCGACACCTATAGTCATATAGTTAGTGTAACGTGGTCGACATCTACTTACCATATAGCTAACCTCTTCGCACTACATGACCATCACTTACCATATAGCTATTATATGACGGACACCTATTTGCCATGTAGCCGATAACGTGGCACCATTTGTCTAACATTTTGACATTATATTATCGTTGCATATTCCCTGACATTATATGATTTCATTAAGATCAAAAAAGTATATATTTATCTTTAACATTAATATACATCTTCTATCACAATAATTCTGAAATCATACTACTAAAGGCTCCTCTAGATGTGCTCCTCAATATACTGAAATTCTTAAATTTTTGTGTAGTATATTGGTTAGAGACAAATATGAAATATGAAATTAGTTGACTCCGAATCAATTTTTCAACTTGACAATTACAACTATATGTATGTTGTAAATGAAACTATAAACTTTATACATAAAGAATCAGATTGATTCGTAACATAGATAATTGATTCATCCTGTCGATCTTTCCTAGGGGATAATGTAGATGCTTTTATTGTCGAGAGAGTATGTTATGAATTATAATAATAAAAATATTTAAATAAAAATGAGGTACCTTCATAAAAGAGGAGGATTTTTTTTTTTTAGAATTTGTCCAAGAATTTTTACCGTCTAAACCAAGAGCTAAATCCATGGAAGCGTCCAACCACGAGCTTTGAGTCGGGTGGTGGCCATGTGACTGGGTTCAATGTTCGAACCCGTGAATCTAAATTGTGCCGCAATTAGAAAGTGGTTGAGCCAAGCCATTAATTTTATTTAGACTTGTCCTCGTTGTTCCATTCTCTTCTTGGGCAAATACTCAAAATACAAATTAAATTATAAACACTAACAATTGAATTCATCATCAAAATCTGAGATTCAACAAGTACCATCTCTGTACACCAAGATATGAGATTTATAACTTTAAACAGTCCTAACCCAATTTCAGCAGAACAAAATATGTGTTAGTAGTTAAATAAGGAGAATAGTTTAGCCTTTAAATGATCATGTTTTAAGCAAAAATTTAGTATGTATTTAGCTTTTATGTCTCCTAGATTTTTACTAAATTTAATAATAATTTAATATTATTTGGTCAGCTAGAACAATAAAATAAGATTGCTTCATAGAATTATGAAATGATTTGATTGATGCTAGGTAGTTAATTTGATTATAGAGTGAATTCTTAGAAAATTTGATAATGGAATCTAGATAAATTTTTAGAGCAAGTATAGTTTATTTTATCAAAA